GGCACATGAGGGTGGTTGGGGGCTCGTATAATAGTATTCGTCAATTTTTTAAAAAAATATGTATATATATAAACATACATACGTATGGATGTATATATACATATACATGCATACGTATGTACGTATCTATACATACGTACATACGTATGTATATACATACATACGTACATACGACTTATGTATGTATATATATGTATAGAATAAAATATTACTCTTAACTCTAACATGATGACATCTATTGCACTATTATTATGTAATCAATCTTGTTTCTTCTAATATTTATGTTGCATGACCCAATAACTTATAATTTATGATTTAATAAATAAAAATTGCTTACTAAATTTGAGTCATCAAACTCATACATTTTTTTTATAGCCTGCTAGATGAACCATCACCATAGTAAGAGAATTTTCAGCATCAAAACTTCATCTAACTATTTTTTTTTATTCAATGTAATTTCTCTATTCATACATGTGTTAGATTTGATTAATTTTACTTATGTGATTATTGCTTTAATATTTATGTTGAATGCTATTAATGCAACAAAACAACATTTGTTTTTATTAATTATAATTACTAATTTGAACCTAACCTCAATTGTTGTTATCATTTCCATTTCTTTGTCCAACAATTTTAGACTCATAATCCTTCTACTCTTGGCCACTTGTTGAATTCTTGATCTATGGCCATATATGAGCCATTGTGTTATGCCTATGGTTGTAAATGAACCAATGCATTAGATGAATAACTCGGATTTGATTTGATTAATACTCGATCAAATTTATTTAAATTAGTAAACAAATAAGTTTTAATTTTTTTTTAAATCATGAATGCTAAATAAACTAAGCTTATATATATATAGTACAAATCATTTATTATGTTTTCGGACAAAATTGTTTATTGTTCGAAAAATAATTTATTAAATGAACTATAGTAAATGTAATGATACTTTATACCATACATAATATATTATTTATACAAAGTTTTAAAACTTATAATTAAATTAATTATAAATTCAATATTAACATATTTTTATCAATATTCATTGTAATCTACTACAATTCATTTATATTTCTTTATTTAAAAAAAAATTAGGGGGCTTTACATATATAACGCCCAGAGCTTTCATATTTACCTATCTTACACCTAAACTTTCATAATTACAAATATTTTGTATGTAATTTTCCAAAATAAATATTACACAAGTACTTATTTATATTATTTTATTAAAAAAAAATCCTTACCTGTAATTGATTATAATTTCATCTAATTGATAAAGACTGATTAAATACTAATTCAAAATTGATTCTATTATTTTTTTATTTAATTTCATGAAATTATTTATTCATTATTTTTATGTAAATAATTTTAATTTGTTTATTAATTCATTGAAATACTCATTCAATTAATGTAAATAAATTAATTACAAATCATATTTTTTAAAAATTTTAATCAGATCAAATATAAACATATATGTAAAAGCCCGGCCCTAATTATTCCTTTTTTTTATTGAGTTTATACCACCTTATACTCTCCCTATAACTTACCTATATCTACCGGAACTACAGAAGCACGAAATTTATTTGTAGGTTACATATAGATTACAAGGAGCTTACAGAGAGTATAACGCATATATAACCCCCCTATACCCTCTGAATAACCTCCCGACGTACACAACTGCGTACGTCTTACATAAGTAAATATTTTCCGTATTTTAGAATGCTACAAAGGAAACAAAATCAAACTATGATTTCAGCACTGCCATTTGGCAGCGTTGTGGGATAGAAAAGGACTTGCCAAGATAGCTCCAACAAAGAAAATTGATGTTCTGAAAACTCTAACATGCTTTCTTTAAGATGCCTTCTCTGAAGGAAAAATCTATGTAAAACATTATATGAAAGTATATATAATAAATATTAAATAATAATTTAATGAAGTTCAATTGACAAAAATGTTATTTCAAGGGCTAAAATGAAAAACTGTACCAAAAATGAAAGGGAAAATTACATGCATACCACCCAATTCCCATGTATTTGCGCATCCAAGACCTAAATATTGTTTTTTACATTTATACCACCAAATATGTCATATTACATAAAAAATACAAAATTTTCAACTGAAACAACATTTTTATGCATAGGAAGTGGTATATGTGTAAAAATTGAAGTTGTTTGATATGTAAATACATAGGAATTGAGTGACAAATATATGTAAATCTTACAAGAAAAAAACATATACAATGACCACCTAAATCAAAATATTCTAAAATGGGCAGATTTAATTTATGGAACGTAACCTTAAAAAATAAAATCAAATCAAATCAAGATATTAAGCTGTACAAAATAAAGAATATTCTAAAGTAGGTGAAATTGATGTCATTCTTCGAAGGTTCAATAATTGCACTTAAACTGTTACAGGATGAAAAACATTTGGGCTTGTAGACACGTCTGAAACACTAAACCATGTCAAAAATCTCAATCATAAACCCTGATCACTCTAAAATTACAAAACTCTCAAGCGTAAACTGCAATATGCTAAAATCTACACTAATTTACAAATACATAAACGACGCAGAACTTAAATCAGTCATGTAATGTTATCTGAACAATTTAAAGTCACAAAATAATCATCTTTTACATTCTTCAGCAGAGAATCTGTGCTGCCTTTCCAGATGTACCAGGATATCGATCCTGAATCAAGAGGCCAGGGATTATTTTCAGAATCTAATAAGAAAAGTGGGGAATTAGATTCATACCACCCAATTTTTATGCAGTTAGAATAGCTTGTGCTTATCCAGATAAGCCGCTTATCTAGAAACACGGACCGCAGCCTTGTGCTTATCCAGATAAGTCGTTTATCTAGAAACACGGACCGCGGGGTTCATCCCGCATTCTTTAGTATAAAAAACCAATTGCGTTTTCAAATAAACTGCTTAAACGGAATTTCCAAGGCGGCAGCGGATAAGCTGCCCCAAACGCATCCTTAATAACTTGAGATTGGATATTTAATTACATATCACACAAATCTTTAAATCATGTCAAAAATACCACTAATATTAACTTTTTGAAATAAAATGCATTTTTTTTCTCAACAATTCATGCGTGTCTGTCTTAATATCATTAAGACGCTGAAGTGTTATAAAAATGAGTATCAAAGCTCAGTTTTTAGATATATAAATAAAATAAAGATTATGTGGTATAAATGTAAATCCCAAAAAAATAGAAGAAAAGTACTTTATTCGAGCAACATCAATCGAAAAACAAATTGGAACGTAGAAAGAGCAAGCACAGAAACATAAAAACCAACAAGTCAATCTAACATTCAGCGAGAGACATACACCTGTTCCATGAAAAGTCATTTATGTGCGGCTACGTGGCTAATTGGACATGACTAGAAAGGCTGACATTTCGCTTATTTATTGTTATTTGTGAACATATTTATTAATTGTTCAACGGGTAGTTGGATATGAACTGGAGCAATTTAATTTAGGAAGATTTACAGAAATACCACTCAATCCTCGTGTATTTACATATCTAACACCTAAACTTCAATTTAAACAAAAATGACACCTTTCCTATGCATAAAAACGTATATTTCACCTTTAAAAAGTTAAAATGATGATATTTTTATGTGACAAAACATTTGGGTGTCGTAAATGTGAAAAGTAAAGTTTCGGTGTCAGAAATGTAAATACAAAAGCATTGGGTGGTATGTATGTAAAATGCCCCTTCAATTTATCATTGTGTATTCGTGTTTATCAATTAATATTGAAATTTAGAAAATTAAATTAAATTAGCTTTTAATTTTTATGAGGAGTTAATGAAGTATAATATCAAATAACTGCTCAGCTAATTCAACCTACTCCATGTGAAATCCAATTATACCTGCTGAAGGAATTGCATCCTCCGTTTCCTGCTCTCTAGTTGTATGTAATAATATGGTGCCAGAAAGAATTGTTATGAATCCACAGAGTTCGGATGCTATGCTGCTGAAATTTTGATGCGACCACTCCTAAAGAAAGAAATGGATAGGAATGACATTAGAATCAACATCATACAGAGTAAAACTGAATTAGGATAATAGAAAATTAAATATTAAATATTGAATATACCTTGAACATTATTGCAAAAAAAAAAAAAACAACACAGCAAAAGAAGTCTTCTTAGGAAAATGATCCGATAAATTATATATATATATATTGGCAGAGCAGTCTTGCTAAAGGTAGTAAGTCCCTCAGGTCACGGGTTCGAATCCCCCGTGTGTATGGTGTGGTACTCAAATATTTAACACACATAAGGATGGTCGGGGCTCCTCTAATAGCCTTCGGCTATTCCTTTTTATTTTAAAATCTATATATATAACAAATATCATATGCAGGTGTCAGTAATCTTATGAAAATTTAATGTATAAAGCATGCTTCGAAATAAAAATGGCAAAGTTACTTAAAGAGAGAAGGATTTTATTGATGGTAAATAATTTCTCATCACAAGGAAACAAGTGGAGCTGCTGGCTGCAAAAATATGACTAGTAACATGGTAAAAGCTTCTTCACAAAATCACAATAAAAAGCACATAAATTTAAGTTCATTTCTTAAAATATTATTGCTTGTTTAAGGTAAGTAATATGTTTTTATCTATAAAATATATTGATCTGAGGGTCTCCCTATAAAAAGAAAAAGCCATCACTTAACAGAAAAGCCTAAAAACGACAACTATAAAAATATATATATAATGGGGGCGATTTTGGCATGCAAGATAAAAAAATAAAAAAAATGAAGAGTTGGCAGAAGAAAAATGGAGAACACACAAAAGAGAAAATTTTAGGAGAATAAAAGCTGAAGTCGTTTATATGACACGTCTTTTAGGCTTGCCAAAGCTGAAGACCTTTCAGTTATGTCCTTCAAAGGAAGATAATTTTTTTTGCATGATGTTATTTCAATCAATCTAAGTTGACTGTGAAAACCCTTCACATCATGTTCTTAATGGACTTCAAAAAGAGAACCTACATGCTTGTACAAATCCTCTATGCTAGCCAACTATGAACACATAGGCCTTTACTATTTCTTATTAGGCTGTACAAAGAAGAAACTAAAGGCGAATAGACCGTTACATTGATTTCTAACCCTACTAAATGATTTGATTTGTCTAACAAAACAAATCAAAGAGTATTTTCTCGCCGCTATGGAAGTTTTCCAGACAACCTTTTAGTGAATTTCTCATTAAAGGCATTGTGAAATTTTCTCTTGAAAGAGTCCCGAAAACTGTCTCTTCGGTGACATGGTTGGAGTTAGGGTTTGGGATTAGGTTTGGGTAGGTGGAAGAGGGTGAATATGGATGATGTAGGGTAAGAAAGAAAATTTTTGGGTGGCCAGCTTGAAAAATCAGAACCGAGAATGATTATTGTGTAGATGTGGGGTTGGGTATTTGTGGATGCTAGAAACACTATGATAAGACGGTGATAGCTATAGTGAATACATATGACAACAAAGGCAAGGTTGTCTCGGTGTTGCAAAAGTGAGGGGATAGTTGGACAGCGAAAACAGACGACTGGAATGAAAGACAACAAGGTGGGAGGTGAATGGAATGGTTGGCAGCTGGTGGAGGAGGTGGTGGTCGGTGGTTATAGTTGCAAGAAGACAGCAGGGTTGTTGTCCGGTGGTTCCAGCAGCAAGGAAAGGAGGTGACAACGAGGGGAGGAATGTGGAGAATATAAAATTCAGAGATAAATACCCCCGCGAGAACAAGCTACAGACGAAAAACCATGCGATCCCTTGCAAGGAGAACACCTCAAACGTGCTACAACTGGAGCACACCCGCATTTAGATATAGCCCTAGAAGGGAGAAACCTACATGCCGACGACTAATTTGATGAAAAAGCAATCCAAAGTTGTAATAAAAACACAAAAAATAACAAATTTATAGACTTAGGGTAAATAAGAGTAGACCCCACTCCAATTAGGAGGTAAACCCACGCAAATGAAGTGTCGAATGACACTCTGAACCAATCCAAGCCACATTCACCTATTGAAATTCATGATACTGTATCGGATACTGAGAAAACGTTTCTATGGGAAGTTCCATTTGTGGTACTATAGCAAGGCGGATGGCTTCCGCGTCAATAACCCTCCATGCTTGTAACGACCCAACCTGAAGCATGAAATTAACCAAGACGGGAATAGAAGATTGGATGATGGGAACTAAATTTTTTATATTTATATACTATTTGACAAATGAAAAAACCACTAAACAAATTAATTTAAAGCAACATACTTAAATTTATCTCTTTAATGGTTGTCCACATTTTCTATAATCGTTCTCTCTTCTATCACTCGTTTTTAATCAAATATAATTAAACTGAAAAAATTAGCTTAAAATAATAATGAGCAAAACAAGTCAGTGAATACTTAAACTCATAAATTACAATAATACAAGAGAAAAAAAAATAATATGCATGTCAATTAAACTTTTAATAAATCAATATAAATATTAGATGTTATTCAAAATATCTTTAGATGTTATTCAAAATATCTTTAGATGTTATTCAAAAAATCTTACCATATCAATATTATATCAATATCATTATATATCTAGGGGAGTAAATGAGTCGAGCATGAGTGAGTCTAGCCTCAGTTCACCTTCGACTCTTTAAAAAATACTAATGTATATGTTCGACTCATTTAAATGTCAAGCTCAAAAAACTTTTTCATGCTCAACTCGTTTTGCCTAACAAACCAAACACGAGTTGTTCGCAAACAACGAGTCATTTTGATAGCCCTTGTTATACAACTATTATATGTTAAGAGTATGGGCGAGTTTTAAATCTTATTCTTTTTATTAAAATATTCATTTAAATAAAATTTAATATATATTTATTCTATTTTTAATTAATAATTTTAATTAAGTATAAAACTTTGTAGCCTTGTAGTTAATTAAATATTTTTAAAAATAATACTCATCATATATATATATATATATATATATATAATTTAATTTATAATTTAATTATTTTGAGCCAAAATGAACATAACACGAACAAACCAAATTTTGTTTATGTTTGGCTCTATTATATATTAAGCGTAATTTGTTCGTGTTCGGCTTGTTTACTTAGTGAATAAATTGAACATGAGCTACTTAACAAGACAAACACGAACTGTTCGCAAACAACGAGCTATTTTGATAGCCCTATACATATTCGTACAATCATCACAGGAGCATTGACTAAAAAATTATACCAATTGAGATACTTTAATTTCAATGTCATTTTTCATTTACATGTATGGCTATCTTAGTGTTCCCCAGCTAGTACCATAATAGGGTAACTCCATCATGGTCAATCATGCACATGCAAACATACAACAAAAATATCACTTTCTACTAATGAATATTTCAATCTCATTTACAAGCAGTCTGTACTTTTGTACAATATTCAATATATATGATAATTTAAACGTAGCTGAGCACACAGGTTATTCTTACAATATGAACAAAATTCAACAGAATCATAAATCATGGGTATGCAATACCATAACAGTATTAGTAAATGTATTAGGTCAAAAAAAATAAAATATTACTATAACAAAAGAATATGAGTACTCACCTCGACGTCAATTTATAAATGAGTCAAACACGAATAAACCATTGCTCGATCTTGTTTGGAGCTCTAATTGATTAAATAAATAAATAATATTTACTATAACAATTTTAAATTTATTGTATCAATTGTATTTTAAAAAATGATAACATTTATTATTTTTTAAATCATTCGAGCTAAATTCGAGCCGAAAATAAGCTGTAAAGGAACAAATGCATTTGAATCATGTGCAATATGAAAATAATATTAACACATCATTTCTAAAACCGGTTGATTTTGAGAAAAAAAATTAGATGAGCCAAACACGAACAAACACTGGACTCGCTCAACCTCGGCTCATTTGCACCCCTAATTATAGCTCAACATACACAATATTCAATTAGTATTATAGAAGAGGATCACATAGGCACAAATTTTTTATTGCAATGATAACACAAAACAAGTACTACTTAAAAGGAAGCAAATAATACTTTTTGGTCAACTTATATTTAGAGAAGATTATTGTAAAAGAATTAGAATAGTAAATTATTTATTTACCTCAAAAATAGCAGAGAAAAAAAAGAAAAAACAGCAACAAGCCCGGGCATCATCTCAAACTTAAGCAAGTGGATTTACTTTGGCACAAAATCAAAGATAGGCTCAATAAGTGGTTCAATAATTGATTTGATCATCATCAGCAAGCTTATCCACAAAACCTAGATCCTTACAACAATAAACTTCATAAGCAAACTTAACATAAGCATCAGATTATTGAATTGGTGATAGTGACAAAGAACTATATATTCTCAAAATGTTTTAGGGCCTTTAGAGTTCAAGAAATTATTATATGATATGAATTGTTATCAAGCAAAATGATTTTAGATGTGATATACTGGATGTATAACCATCATACGATTTATGCTAATGATTCATGAGACTCTCAATCACAGGAAAATGAATAACAACTAGATGTATTAACATTGCATGCCTTCAAGATTATTTATGATCAGTATAAGATTGACGAAGAGTAGAATTGTAGTCACGAATGCTATAAGACTTTAACGTAATCATAAGATGCCTTAAAATATGACTCATTTAATTGTCATACAAATAAAAATAACTATGATCATATTCATAATCATGAGATTAAATTGTCATACTAATAAGAATAACTATGATCATATTCGCAGTCATAAGTCATATGCATGCTAATCGAGTGATCCCTTAGCTATGGCAGCATGTAACTTAGAGCAATATTTCAGTCCATCATCATAGGACATGCTTTTCCTGACACCACTTAAATTAATTTATGATGTACAAGGCTTATAATGAAGTCAAGCATATATAAATCATATCCAAAAGTGCTCTAAACTTAGATGCTTGTGTTAAGGAAACTACTTGAAAAAGTCACCTTCTAATTTCACCGCAGAAAAGGATCACAGGGTTCGAGGAAAAAAATCGAACCAAAAAATTTAAGAAAGCACAATCAAAGCAACCAGAAAAACACATAAATTTTACATGAAAAAACCCGAAAATAGAAAAAAACCACGGAGTCACACCACCACAAATTTCACTATGTAATTCAAAAAATTTTACAAAGGACACAAGTTTTTTTTAGATAAAATAAATAGTGCCTCGAAATGCACTGATCTTCAATCAAGTTTATACAACTTGAATGCATATTGAGTGAAACTACTAAAAATTATTTCTGCTCTCCGTAAACTCAACTCAATACTCAACCCGAAATCCACTGTCTGGAATCAAGTTGATTCAACTTGAATGCATATTGAGTGAAACTCCTAAAATCTGATTGTCTGGTCTCTGTAAATTCAACTCAATACCACCCTTATATTGTTACCAAATATCAACTTAGTCCAATTGATCACTGAAAATCTGTGAAATTTCCCATAAAAATACTTAGCTTGCTAGGTTCATGAAACACTGGGGCAGCTTCAACTATATTGGCTATATTATATATTGAGGATTGAGATATTCTTTTCTTACATAATTTTCAAACATTAACCCTATCCCATTCCCGCACTCCAACTCTTCCTTCCCTCAATATCCGTCTTCTGACAAAAGCCCTTAGTAAATTCACCATTTACCTTCCACAATTTAATACTCTTAAGTTTTTTCAGACCAATATTCTGCCTAATAATCAATGTTCTTCATAGATCAAATGCAAAGTTTCCCTGGCTAAACAAATATTTGCATTTTTAGACTAATATGAACTATGAAGCATCCATCAAACAATTACCATCCATAAATACCTGATGAATCATGAATGCATTGTCAACCTTCTACTTAAGAATATAATAATCTTAAAAATCCCACTTTTATTTTTGTGCATCAGAATTCAGCATGCATTGCTGGTGGTATCACAATTAAAATAAAATATATATATATATTAAAAGAAATGGTATAATCATGTTAGCAATGCATGCTCCATCCAACCTTGATGCAAAAATCTGATAATATCATATTGCATCCTATAAAACATACATGTTGGACAAAAGCATTCATGCTGTTCATGGAAAAGGACATTTTATAAGAGTTACTTCCAGTGAGGCAATCAAAATGTGCTGCCAATAATGATATAAAAGCACAAGTTCAATCAAAAGAAGAACATGCTAACCTTGTTCAAGTAATTCAATTGAGTAACAGCGCAAATGACAGCTCCCAATAAGAAAAGCCACGTTTGAGGATAAGCCACCTGACTAATCCCCTCGAATGTCAGTTTTACTGCAATTCCAACGGCCTTTATGCTAACAACCTGTAGATCAATCAAGATATTCTTAGACCAAGTTAATTATGATAAAAAAAAGGGCATTTACATAGCACACAATTCTTATGCATTTACATATCTCCCACCTAAACATTCTCATTTACACACAGCTAGCAAATCTCTAATATCACATCCAAAATAGCACTATTATCATTATTTAAAAGTGAAAAACATATTTTCATGCATAGGTTTAAAAAACCAAAATGATATGTAAATATGAAAGTTTAGGTGTGAAATATGTAAATGCACAAGAATTGTGTGCTACGTACTTAAATTTCCCAAAAAAAACAAAATTTTAAGCTAAATATTAAAATCCTTGTATGACAATCTAATATGAGACTAATACTAAGCTGCACAGTTTCAAGTCTAACCGTCAGTGATCCCATCAAAGAACATATTCCCAGGTAAACTATTATGCTTGTTTGTCCATATCGGGGCTCAAAATATAACACTAGAGCCAGGACAATGACTAGGGCAACTGCTGTATAAATCAGAAAAGCTGCAAAAGATAAAAAAACAATAGAACAATCATTATCAGTTCATATAAGTAAAATGCTGAATTACATTATATGTCGTGATCTTAAAATAAACTAATGGGTGCATAATATATTCATGGAGAATTTACATACATACCACCCAATTCCTATATATTCACATATCCAACACCTAAACTTTATTTTTTACATTTATACCACCCAAATCTTTCATTTCATATATCACATAAAAAATACCACCATTTTAACTATTAAAAAATGAAATGCAACTTTCCATTCAAAGGTAAAGTGGCAAGTACGTAAAAATTGAAGTTTAGATAGATATGTAAATACATAGGAATCGAGCAGCATGTATGTAAATCTTCCTATACATTTACCAGGTTGTATGGCCAGTGTCCAGATTTCTTCTACTGAACTTGGTGTCTGCTCCTGAGGTGCATGAATTACAATGACAAGTGAACCGACAATGCAAGATACACATCCAAGAATACCCATTTTATGTAACTTCTCCTTTAGTATGAAGTGTGCAAGAACAGCACTGCAGAATTAATCAAACAACATCAAATTTGAATAGAAAAAAACATTGCATCTCATCAGCTATTTACCATCTCCTAATTACCTGATTATTATACTAAAGGCACCTAGAGGAGTTACAAGAACAGCTGGAGCAAAAACATAAGCCACTAAATTTGAGGCCTCGCCTACAATCACTGTTCATAATATATGCTTCAGCCTTCCAAACAGAACATATATAAGAACTAAGACATTCTTAAGGAAAATTTTCTTACTTAACATCATCCCAATCCACCAAAGTGGTTCTAACAAGTAGGCGTATCCTCCAAAACCTACAATAGTGAATAAAAAACAAGTCAAAGACAAGATTGAAAAAAATAATTTCATAAGCTCACCCTATCTATGAAAACTAGAAGAAAGTACGATATAATGTCAGTTAATTTGTATGGACAGCAGTTCCCTATGAAGAGAAGCAAACAAGAATTAGGGTCTTGGACAATTTTAAACAACAATAAATCAAATTATGGGAAAATGCAAAGGAAAGAATGCTCCACATAGGGTGTAGCTGAGTCAAGCTGACTCGTGACCAACTAAGGCTTAGATTAATAAATGGCTCATGATTCTAGCTCGACAAGATAATGAACCGAGCCTAAATCAACTCCAATTCAACTCATCAACTTGTAAGCGGGCTAATTTTGATAATATTATATATATATATA